AAATTTCTTGAGTAGCTGTAGAATTGGCGGGTCCTCTAGAAGGGCTCAGCTCCGTGAGTAAGTAAATGCGTATGAAAGTGGGCCGTTACGTGGAGAGTTAGGCAGCTCGGAGCTCTCCTGAAAGTCGCTCCTCCGACAAGGAATAGCTCTCAATTCAAAGGCAACTTTGAAAGGGTAGTATTTAAAATTCCTACAGCGGTGGTTATGAAGAGTTCTGTCTTGTGGCATACAACATCGTATAGTCCGTTGAAGGTCACCCATGCGCTTCGGAGGAACATCATGCCTCCATCATCAGTGTTGGGTAAGCAAAGCAATAAACCAGTTCTGATCTTATGGCAGCTCTCAATTCAAAGACAACTTTGAAAGGGTAGTATTTAAAATTCCTACAGCGGTGGTTATGAAGAGTTCTGTCTTGTGGCATACAACATCGTATAGTCCGTTGAAGGTCACCCATGCGCTTCGGAGGAACATCATGCCTCCATCATCAGGGTTGGGTAAGCAAAGCAGTAAACCAGTTCTGATCTTATGGCATTCTGACCTCCTCCTGCTGAAATTTCGAAAAATCTTACTGCATCCACTGTTTTCTTGCAAAGTTGTATGTTTGTTACCTGTTGGCGGGAGAAATAGTTGCTCAGACGGTCTCCCGACTGCCTAACAAAAACGAAATGGCCAGCATTCAAATTGTGGCTAGTAGCAGGTGCAAGCGAAAGGAATTAGGAATTCACTCACATGAAGACGACCTGTACTTAGTGCTGTGAGTCATGCTTGGTCCGGTTCTCGCGAACACGCTAGTTTCCTGGTACAGTTTCTTATTTTTAGATTTCACAGAGCGTTCGGCATTAACCATTGTTGTCAGAGGTACCGTGACGGATTAGGACTTGGTTCGGGCTATATATGTCTCTCTTTCCGTTATTCAATGAATAATCTGTTTCCTCTCTTGGGAGTTCATTTGTTTACTCTCTTGTTTCATCGTTTAGCTAATGAAAGGCCCTTTTCTTGTCGCAAAAAAAGTAAAGGTGTCCCAGTAACGGGCTGTGGAGACCCATAGGGGTGTGAGACGTTGAGGTACCCACATTTTCTAGACAATCGGCTCATAGATAGCGGCAGGGTTGTCAGCCTTACGCGCCGGCCGCCCGTTACCCCCAAGAATATGCCTGGTAATCATTTCTGTTAAAGACGCTGACCCCAGGACCATAGTGCGTCTGGAAGGATTAGGTGAATCGAAAAGAATCCAATGACCTCATCGGGACTGGAACCCGTGACCTTCCGGCTTGTACTCATGGAAAATGTAGCTCGCTATGGATCGCAGGAATATTTTTTTTTATTGCTAGTAAGGTGGGACTAAGTCCCTTGTACTGCGGCTACTTCTGGCCTATTGTACTAGCCCCAAATGATAGGTGATGGTGATTGTGGAACAGTTGGTGGAATGAAGATTGACAGGGGAAACTGAAGTACTCGGAGAAAACCTGCCCCAGCGCCACTTTGTCCACCACAAATCCCACTTGACCAGCTCCGGGATTGAACCCGGGCCGCCGCGGTGGGAAGCCAGCGCCTAACCGCTTGAGGTATAGCGCGGCCATCGCAGGAATAACTGTCAGTCGATATGTAAAGGCTTCGTCTTACTATCATAAAGACATGTTACTTCTGTCACTTAATGGTTTTAGTGGCTGTTCATTCATATAATTGCGGGTCACGGGCCCAAAATTTCGGGACCTGGGCTCCCCATGCCGCCACAATATATGACGACGGATATTTACAGAAGCATGTATTTTTAATTTGTATATAGAAATGCCAGACCTCCTCTGTGGTCTAGTTGTCAGTTCCTGTCTACAAATCCAGAGGTCCCGGATTCGATTTCCGGAGCCTCCAGATTTTCTGAAGAGTAGTGGGCCTGGAACGGGATCCACTCAGCCTCATGAGAATAATTGAGGAGCTATTTCAAGGAAATAGCGGCTCCGGTGTAGAAAACCGAGATTAACGGCCGTGGGGATCCGTTGCGCTGACCAGGCGACACACTATCTGCTAAAGTTGGCACTAAAGTTTATATTCAGACACTTGTAAATGATATACTTCACACAAAGGGACCCCCAAGTCACACCTGTGTAAAACTGATAAGTTTTTATTTTTAACTTTGTGGAAAATGAGGAGATAACTGTTTTTGGATTGAATAGCAGCGCTAAGTCAACCGACTTGGTTTGCTAATTGTGTCACGGTGCTTATTATTTAATATTATTTCCTGATACTTCCGTCTTGACACATATTCAAATTCTTTGCCGCATTATGATCCGTCTCCTGCCCGAATAGAAATACAAAGCTGTGGTTTCCTGTGCACGTAAGACTTACTCAGTGTCGTCCTCGCGGGACAAAACGTAAAATGGAAGTGCCTGGGAAGGAAATGTCACCAGAAGGTACATTTGTTCAGGAGGAATGAAGTACACGTTGCATTAAGTGTAGGTAGACCTTTGTTATCCATTAGTTCGCCTGTTAATGGTACGGAAATATGGCTAGAATGTTGGAGGAAAGAAATGTGCACAATTTTGATTACTGACGCGTATTGGAGCGGAAGATTTAATATTGCAGTGGATCACAGGGAAATAGGTTTCTGATAATGTGAACTGATTTGAACTGTGTGGATTTGAAGTTCTCACTTCGGCGAGTATGAATAATACGGGCTTCTGGTTTGAAACTTCACGTAATTAGGAGAGATTGCATCGTTTCGGAATAACATATAGCCTCCATCTTCAGAGACGAATACCCAGAAGCTCCGCTTGTCTCCTGCTTGGCTTACTCTTCGACATGGAAGATTGAGACGACATGTTCTTCTGAAACTCCGGGCTCTCCCCGAAGTACATGGCGTTATAACAAAAACAAACTCTGTGTGTTTTGTCCGCAAGCGAACTATACCAACCGAGCGACCGCCACTTGTCGGCGAAGTTAGTGCCAACTTTAGCGGATAGAGGGTGTTGCGTGGTCAGCGCAACGAATCCCCACGGCCGTTAATGTCGGATTTCTAGACCGGAACCGCTGTTTGAAATAACTCCTCAGTTATCCTCACGAGGGTGAGTGAACCCCGTTCCAGACACACAACTTGTCAGAGAATCTGGTAGCGCCGGGAATCGAACCCGGACCTCTGCATCAGTAGCCAGAAACTCTCACCACAAGACCACAGAGGCGGTCTTACATGGCGTTATAACCCATTGATTTTAACTAGCTCAAGATTGTGTCCAGTGGTAAGGTTGGGAACCAGTACCACGAGTTTGTTAGACGTGTGAGGCTAGTAGTAACACTTTGAACAGAATGCACTGTACTTCGTCATTGAGACCGATTTCATATTAGTTGGTGTGGAGGATATGTGAGCCGATTGGTACACAGAGGGAATGCATTTGCTTACCCAAGTTTGTTGTAGAGACCACCTTTTCATTATACACGGGCATTTGCAGATGGAAGGTGTTCATAATAATGAACCAGGAACCACAGAATTTGTCGGTTGGGCAGTGTCCTCTAGGCCACTGTTGCTCCAACAGTGAGCTCGATTAAAGATGTTTTAAATAGCGCCAGCCCAGACAGCGTTTCCCTGTGAAAGATATACCCTGAAACAAGACAGACGGCTCAAAACACTTAGGCTACACAAGCAACATGTTCATTTAGTCAGCGGGCTACAAGATTACGGCTACTTTGTTCACTACCTCAGCTGTCATTTCTGATGGACACCGCAAGAAGATGCGAAGCAGAATGTTGGAACGATAAGCAGAGCAAACGTGATAAATATTGGGTTAACTTTAATGACCAATAAACGGATGTGTAGCGTGCCGTTTGGTACTTACATTTTTATATTACTGTGATATAGCAGTCCCGATGTAACGTGAGCCTTGTACAGACGTTTGGTTTTGTTTTGTAGCTGCGAGGCATCCATCCACAGTCTGCATGTTTCAGCCAGCGTGATATCCCAGTACATAATTCGTATTGCCAGTTTTGTGTTCGCGTTTGGTTCGGTACTGACGTTCAGATATGGAGCCGGGGTAGCGTAGTCGGTATAGCGACTGGCTACGGGCTGGACGACTGAGGGGTCGGAGCTCGAGTCCCGGTAGGGTCAATAATTTTCTCTTCGCCAGATCGGCCAGACCGGCTCTGGGGTCACCAAACCTCATATCCAATGGGCACTGGGGGCTATTCCCCCGGAGATAAAGCGGCCGGGGCGTGAAGCTGACCACTCACCTCCATCTAGTGCCGAGGTGAAGAAAATGAGCATCTATACAGCCACTCCCCCATACATTTTCGTGGCATAGCGCTTAATTAGAAACAGCAGTAACTTTAGCCCAGTCTTTTTTTTTTATTTCCACATGTGCCTGTATATCGTAGTGCCTGGTCACAAGGGGAAACTTTACTGTATGCTCAGTCTGTTTGTAAAATCGTCACGGGTTGGATGGGAGTAAGAAGCAATATAATCTAGATGCATATGTGAAGATATTCAGCTTAGTTATTAGTTTTTAGTTATTTAGAGAGGGTGGGTTTCCCCATGCACCGCGATCAGTTTGATCTATTGTGCATCCCTCTATGATATTCTACCAATCTCTTTACCCTACCGATAAATGGTGCGTACCACCAGTCCCGCCGAGCAAGCGAGTTCGGCCACTTGCTTAGCGGTGACTATATTGCTTCCCCCATCTATCAGAGGCCTTAGAGACTATTGTTGGGCGGGAAACGTCCTGGAATTTGGCTCAGTGATCCCCTTTGGGGATATGAGGTTCTTTTACGTGCCGTAAAGTTACGACACGGGACACGCAGCTTAAAGTCCCTCCCGGAGGACTTGTTCCCTGAATTTTTCCGCCCTTAAAAATTCGACGACCTCCGTCGGGTATTTGACCCCGCGTACCACGAGTCATGAGGTGGGAACGTTACCTCTAGACAACGGAGGCCGCTAGATAGATATATTCAGCTTACTTGTATGTTTGGTGTGGTAGACCTAACTGTTAACCCTGAGTGTTTCTTTTCTGTTTCAGGAAGTACTGCATACGATCTGTTCACCAAGCGGCCAGGTTCTACGCATTGTCGTCTTCAGGAAGAACGGCATACAGGCAATGGTTGAATATCCTTTAGTGCAAGGTCTGTTTGGAACTTGCCGCTACAGTGTTTTAGGTTTGTGAAAATAGTCCACTTGGCAGCTTGATAACATCCCTCAGCTGTCAAGACATGTTGCAACCAGGCTCTTCGTCTCCGAACTAAAGAAAAAAATGAATCCAGGTGTCACAAGTAACCTTACATCTTATTGACTTAACTTTATTAGTGGCAGCAGAGTGTGGCCACTAAACTAGACTGAACAAAGCAAAACTTATTAGACCATAAAATGTATAATGAGCTCTCATTAAGGAATAGTATTGCTCTGTATAGTGAAACGTCATTAGTCTGGATTGTACTATGGGTAGGATAGCCTGGATTCTGTGATAATCCAGTTTAGCAATGCTAAAGCCACATGAGAGTATATTTATTTATCATGAAATCCTTACTCGTTCTTTACACGGAGGGTTCTGACGATGTTGTATAACACTCGGGATTCATGAGTTTTTGGATTTTGCCTTTCCGGTATTCGTAGTGGGTCTGGAACGAGGTCCACTCAGCCTCATGAGGATGATTGAGGAGCTCTTTCAAGGAAATATCGGGTCCGGTCTAGAAAATCGAAAATAACGGCCGTGAGGATTCGTTGCGCTGACCACGTGACACCCTCTATCCGCAAAAGTTGGCACTAACTTCGCCGACAAGCGGCGGTCGCTCGGTCAGTATAGTTCGCTGGCGGACTGCAGGCCACGGAGTTTGTTTTGTTTGTTCTTCCTGGTATTCTTAAGAAGACAGCGTTTTAGAAATTGAATCTGTTTCCATTCTCAGAAGGTAAGGGGTTGGGAGGCACCTACTCTGTTAGTCCCGTTAGAAAGAGCTGATTAAACCACTGGGCCAGAACTAGTTTCTAGAACCTTGTGTTGTTCATCGCCATGCGATAGCGGTGTTTGCGTCACATTGCTCTACCCCTCTTCGCTGAAGACGATCACCTTTATCCGTTCCACAGTCTGACACTTATTTTCAGTAACACTGGCAGATTGCTGGACACCATGAACACGCTTTGGCCTTGTGTCACACCGCACATTATACATGATAGCTTGAGTGACCTCCTTGCTTCCTTCATCTGTTTTATGCAGTTTTCTAATAGTGGTTTGAAAGACATTCGGTAGTTGGCAAACACAGACCAGAGTTGGAAGGACTCGAAGGAAAACTGTATTGCATCTGCAACAAAACGACTAAAATGAAGAAACCATCTGTAATTTCCTAACGATGTCATATTAAACAGTGTAATTCTGGAAGCTCTAGTTTTAGTTTTGCTAGGAAAATATGTTGCATCACAGCTGGTGAGCTTTGTTCTTGTAATACATCATTTCCTGTTTATACAGTATGGCTTGCTGCTCAAGTATAAACAGATCGGCCATTATAAACATTCCCCTCAGACCCTTGACCATTCCCAGCGTACTGTATATGGAGAGTATATATGTTATAATTTTCAATGTGCTGCTTAAGTAGAGTATACTTTTTGACAGTTCTCAGGCGACTCTCAGGAATAGTACAGAGTTTTGCGAGAGGTGTTCGAACTGTGGCTTTCTTCAAAGGGTAACCGAGAATTCCGCCTGTGGTCTAGTGGTCAGAGTTCCTGCCTACAGATCCACAGGTCCCGGGTTCGATTCCCGGCGCTACCAAATTTTGTTAGAAGTAGTGGCTCTGGAACGGGGCCCACTCCGCTACTTTAGGATAATTGAGGAGCTATTTCAATGAAATAGCAGCTCAGGTCTAGAAAACCGAGATTAATGGCCGTGGCGAATCGTAGCGCTGACCACGTGACACCTTCTATCCGCAAAAGTTGGCACTAACTTCGCCGACAAGCGGTCGCTCTGTCGGTATAGTTCACTTGCGGACTAGAAGCCACGGAGTTTGTTGTTATTCAGATATTACAAGAGACATCTTAGATAACTAGGGTGTGGAGGTGTGGCCTCACTTTTTCTGGATCGGGTTATTGTCTGGTGGCTGTAGACTGTTGTGCACATGGAATTGAATCATCACTTTTCATGAAAGGTGGGACATATCCTGAATAGCTGGGCAGCTATCAGCTTTGCTCCCTGGTCTTATTTTCAGTTATGGCTTTTAGCAGACAGATTTACAGATTACGTGAGGAGTTCCCCTTGTTATTAATTTGATATCTCGCGTGAGCGCATTGGCATATTTTGATCACATATTCTGTGAGGTGGGAAACGAATTTGTGCGATCGAGTGACCATAGACGGGGTTTGGATTGGTAATCGGATTTATTGAACTCGTACAACTTGTAACTATAAGTAAGGACTGTGCTTTGACTATTCTACACACTCCACAAATATTACTGTAGGACACTAGGTTTTCTCAGTCTGTTACAGTCTTCAATGGCCATTGTTCCGTGGCAGCTTTCAACGGCGGACGTTCCCCCTCCTCTGGGTCCCCGAACTGTCGCCGGCCTCAGCTACTTGTTTCTCACAGAAGCAGCTCAAAACTGAACCCCAGCGGTTATCTAACTGCAACTCCTAACCTGTCCTGCTTATAACTTATCGGCACGGACCGCACAGAAAACACCGTACCTCAGTTGTTGTTTACGGGTCAGGTTTAAGTGCCAAAATATGGCATGACATGTTTTTATGTGCCGAGAATATTCAGATATGATACTGTTGTGAACAGTGATCAGGGTGGCGTATCATTTAACTGAAATCATCGCATGTTATCCTTCGAATGATCTCGCATGGAACAGGAGGATTAACACCGAGACATATTCCCTGCTGCAAAGTGTAGTATGTGATGTAATATGCCAGATATGTAACTCAGCATTTGTTTCGCAAGACCCAAATTGGCGCTGGACTGAAAAGCTGGAAGCTCCATCCAGTGTCGAGGTGAAGCTGTACTTGCATCCCGCGTGTTTATTTGTTCATTGTGTGAGACCAAGCATAGATATAGATCAATGTCCTCATTTCATATGCATCGAAATCTGCCAGGACTTGGAGGGGAGATGATATTAAAACGGATCTTGAACACGGTATGAATGTGTTGTCTGGATTAATGTGCCTACTTGCTTGGCTTACTCTTCAACTCTGAAGATGGAGGACATATATTCCTCCGAAACGTATGTTTATTTTCAACAGAATGCGCGGCGTTATATCCGAGAAAATATAACTTTTTTTTTTGTAGAATTTGAAGTTCTCACAGCGGTGGTTATGAAGAATTCATTCTCCTAGGACATAATACCCTGTAGTCCGGTGAAAGTAAACATATGTTTCGGAGGAATATATGTCCTCCATCTTAAGCGTCGAAAAATAGACCAGCGTGAAATCAATCACATGATTTCACCGTGAAGTATTCTGCGGTTTATTCCTCAACCCTGAAGATGGAGTTGACATATTTCTGCGAAACATCGGTTGACTTTCAACGGACTATACAGTGTTATGTCCCAGAAGATAGGACTCTATTTTTTATTATATTGCTTAGGTTCCCTCAGTAGTTTTTGTAGGATGTGGAGGTTTTGCCAACTTAACGGTTTCAAAGCAGGTGCATGTGTAAAACAAAAGACAGGAAATGACGTCCCCATTATTGTATGCTTTACGTGCTCTGCTGTTGTGGCTAGGTTAGACTTATATTTATATCTGATAGAATGAATTTGTACTGAGAATATTTTGGGGGCCTTCCTTTGAGCTCCGAATTCCCCACTGTCTCACCGAAAACGTGTATTTGTATTGTTTACGAGGGTGTTAGTACCGATAGCCGTGGAGGCCCATGGGGTTATGAGACGTCAAGGCTTCCACATTTTGTCTAGTCACTCGTNAATCGACTCACAGATGGCGGTGAGGTTGTCAGTCTTACGTGCCGGACACTATTTCCCCCCCAGGAAGATTCCTGCTACTTATTTCAGTTAGAGGCTGAGTCGACCCCAGGGTCATAGTGCGGCTGGAAGGATTAGGTAAATATAAAAAATCCACCTCATTGGGAGCCCAATTCACGACCATCCGTCTTGTAGCATAGTGCCTCAACTAGCTACGCTACCAAGCGCACCCGGAATAGTAGGATAGTTAGTGAATTATGAATTAGATCATGTGTGGGAGCAAGCGAACGCCTCTGTGGTCTAGTGGTCAGAGTTCCTGGCTACAGATCGAGAGGTCGGTCCGGGTTCGATTCCTGGCGCTACCAGATTTTTTCTGAGAAGTAGTGGGTCTGGAACGGGGTACACTCAGCATTCGGTCTAGAAAACCGAAATTAGCGGGCGTGGGGATCGTTGCGCTGACCACGCGACACCCTCTGTCCGCAAAAGTTCGCACTAACTTCGCCGACTAGCGGCGGTCGCTCGGTCGGTATAGTCCTCTTGCGGACTACAGGCCACGGAGTGGGAGGAAGCGATCTCCGTCTAGCTTGAAGTACCCCAGCAATTACGGGGAAGGACACGAAAATAGTGAAGCCTCTTGGGGTATGTTATGGTAATGATGATTCTAATGCAATGTTGAAGTCTGTTGTGATACAGCTGTCTTGAGGCCCTTAGATGAACTCTTTTTTAGTTTCCTGTCATCGTCTTCATTTAGGTTTGAGAGTTTGGCCTGAATGTTCTAATCAAAACATCAATCAAAAAAAAATAATTAAGAATTACTGGATTTTTGTCCTCTGGTGAAAGGGGGAATGGAAGACACCTACTCAGTTCGATCCCGGGTCTGGTCAAGTGGGATTTGTGGTGGACAAAGTGGCGGTGGGGCAGTTTTTCTCTGAGTACTTCGGTTTCCCCTGCCAATCTTCATTCCACCAATTTCGCCACAATCACACTCACCTTTCATCTGGGGCTGGTACAATAGTCCAGAAGTGGCCGCAGTACAAGTGACTTCGTCCCACCCCACTAGCAATAAAAAAAAATTATATACTTCAAGTGACAAATTTGGTACAGTTTCGAAAATTCCACCGTCAGCATCAATGTACAGGATGGGCCAGACTCAATGAGGCAGTTTTCGATTAGATGTTCTTTTTATTGATAAATGTGAACAATTGCAACGGT